GGAATAGCCATTGGGCCCTCTCCCATAGTAGACTTGGCCTTAGTCTTCCCCAGCCTCTCTCCAACCTTGCCCTTCTTTTCCACCGTGCCCACTGGAACCCTCCTATTGTTAATAAACTCCATTCCTTTCCCCCATTGTTGATCTTTTCCTCTCATGTTCCTTCTGTCTTCTGATGCTTACTGAGGTCTAGATTTGTTCTGAAGACCTTCCTTGGTACCTTTCCAAGTAGCCTTCTCTCCTGGCACACAGTGACAAGTAGGAGAGGGGTGATCCTCATTCCCCACTACCACCCATTAGTGATGCTGGCCTTGCTGTTCCTCATGCCTGGAATGGTCTTTCTTGCTGGCTTCCTTCAAATGCCACAACCTTCAAGAGATCTCTCCCCAACCCTATGCCTTCTGTCAGGATGACCTCCCATTTGCCTCGTCTATGTCTTGTTTGTACATAGTTATTTATATGTTGTCTCCTCCATTAGATTGTAAGCTCCATGAGGGCAGGGACTGTTTTTGCCTTTCTTTGTATCCCCATTTCTTAGCTCAGTGCCAGGCGTATGGTATAACAAATGCTTATTGAATGACTGATTGAGGAAGGTTTTACCAGGGAAATAGGAATTTGAATTGGGACCACAGAATCTGAGACCTAGGGCTGGAAAGAACCTAACAGACCATTTTGTCCAAACCCCTCATTTTACAGATGAGGAAACTGAGGTCTAGAGAGGGTTGACGACAGGGCCACACATCTATTAAGTAGTAGGGTCCAGATCCAAAACCAGGGTTGTTGACCTCCCAATCCAGTACTCCATGGAACCAAAAGCTGGTTTTCCTTGCTTTTATTCCCCCAGGTTTCCTGGTAAGTCAAAGAAGGTGGTCTTTAAAAGGGAGATTCCCCTAGCCAGGATGATCGGTTGATGGCATGCCTGGGGAGGCAGTGTTGGTTTTTCAAAAGGATGGCAACTTTCAGATGGGGGGATTTGAGGCCATAGACTTTGAATTGAAGGGACTTAGTGGTCAGCCCCTCATTTTACAGATAAGTAAACTGAGACAAAGGGAGGATAAGTGACTTGGAATCATAGGACCATAGAATCATAGACTTAGAATTGGAAGGGACCTCAAAGCCCATCTAATCCAACTCCCACATTTTACAGATGAGAGCACTGAGAATCAATGAGAGTTAAGTGTTTGCCCTGAGATCACCCAGGGAATAAGTGGCAGAGATGGGATTTGAACTCGGGTCTCATGACTCCAAATTCAATGTTCTTTCCACTACAGCTTCCTCTTTGATATTCCTCTGTCAGTCAGCCAAACCTCAGCTGTCTAAAAAAAGTTTTATGACTCAAACCCTGCAATTATGTAGTGTTCAATGTTTTCCTAGAAGTGAGACTGACAAGTTGGTGTGTGGGTGTGGGTGTGGGTGTATGCACACACACACACACACGCATGTGAGTATGTTTATATGTATGAGTGGAGGGGAGGCCATATAGGGGACTTGGACCCAGAGCCATAACTAGGACTAGGCAACTAGGGCTTTGCCCCAGGGTATGAAATTTAGAGGGCACTAAGCACTTGCAATCCTCCAGTAGCTCTGGAGAAAAAAAGAAGAAGAAGAAGAAGAAGAAGAAGAAGAAGAAGAAGAAGAAGAA